GCCATACTTACTGGCAAGCAAAACAGCGTCAAATACGCACAGACATTGGAATCTCATTTACTACCATTTACAGCCCAGAATCATCCACAAGCTTCTTCCAGAAAGATAACTGCTCCATCCATACATCGAACCATACAAAGACGTGGCTTGACGACCAAGATTTTGCTGTTCTACCGTGGCCTGCGCTATCCCCGGACTTAAACACAATCGAGAATCTATGGGGGAAGCTTACTAGGCTGGTTTACGATGGTGGAAGGCAGTTTCCGACGAAAGAAGAGCTCACACGGGCAATTTTGAAAGCCTGGGACCAAATTGTCCAGTTTTACCTCGACGAACTGATCAACTCAATGCCGGATCGCTGTGCCCTGGTTCTTAAAAACTCTGGTGAGAAAACGAACTACTTACCAAGCAAAAACAACTACTTTAGAGTCTTAAAAAATCGCATTGTACGCCTTCGTCTGTATACATTTTGCCGGGCTGGTTTGGCGTTATTTTCTGTAGCTTGGCGAGTACGGCTCCTATTGAAGAATGGCGACCACCATTCGATTCCAAATGCTAAGCAGCGTTGATTGGCATATTTTCAGTCCAATCAGAACTCTCTATTCGACGAAAAGCAAAACAATGTATCGTTTGTATAATTATTGCCCGCACTGTATTCTGTAAGGAGACCGACGCTATGAGTGCAACGTTCAACGGTGTCGCACTTAAGGAGAAGCTCCTGCTGGTCAGCGACTACGATGAGCTGTGATGCTGAAGCTTGGGAAAGAAATTGGCGATGGACTGCATAGTTTTGTTTTTCTTTTTTTAGGTAGTTAGTGTGCCTTTTATTACAACACTGTCTTTTGTCTTTGGAATCCCTTAGAAAGAAACATACACAACTGTTCTTGACACCACAACCTTGATAGTTTATTTGAGGTGCTAGGAGGTGTGGAGGAGACCCCCCTTCGCACCAGGAGCGACGATAGGGTGCGTCGTTGAAAATGGTAGCTGTTGTTGGAAAAGCGTTAGCGATGGTACAGACAATAAAATACGGTAAGGAAAAAAATGACGTCGTAATGTTCCAGTGTATACTACTACCGTTTATTCAGTGGGAGAAGCAACTCAAGGTCTCTATAAAGAAATATGTCCAAATTGTGGGGAGGGTTGACAATTTGGATGAAACGACGGAGAAGAAGGAGCTTAAACAGAAATTGGGCTCGTTAGACCGCGCCAGCTTAGCAGCTACGGCTCGATTGATCAAATTCATCGAGGACGGAGGAGTCCCGAGTATGGACATTGCATCGTCTTTCCGGGATATCACAATTTTACTTCCGAATATCATTTCACGGAATCAAGAGCAAAAGAGCGCGACCAAGAAATGGACTATGATGATACTAAAGAGACTTGGTCGAATTTTGGACCTTGGCAAGAGTAACCCGAAGCTCCCTGCACCTTTGTCGGATCCTCAGTTGGAGGCTGCTCGAGCAGCTTTGAACGATCATAAGGGCGTGTACTGCTTGGATTACATCCAGAGAATGGAGGCGTTCATTAACACGATGAAGGCCCAACCCCGAGCTTTCGAGGCTGACCGTATTGCAGTGACGCTGGAGAAATTGGCAAGCGATTACCACCGAGATTTCAGACTGTATGCTCGTCGACAAAAGTCTGGAAAGTCACCTCCGCGAACAGAGGAACGCTGGGCTCACTTTGCCAGGATCAGTGAGGTACTGGTGCAGTGGATTCAACGAGCACAGCAAACAACACCTCCACCGAGAATGCCAGGGAATCTGTCCAAGTTCGACAGACAGCTTCGAGGCTTTGCGGAAAAATACCCAGACCGCGTACCCTCTGCGCCGTTGGAGTGCGTAGTATTCTTATTGTTCTTGATCGATTCTTGGGAACTAACAATTCTATTTTATAGGGAGTCACCTGCTCTAACGAAGCTAGCTCAACCGAGATCTCAATCTAAGCGACCGATCAAGAAAGAAAAGAAGACTTCGGTCGCTCAAGCCATTGTGATGGCTGATATCGTTTAGCGCGTTGGTTCCTTGGGTTTGTGGATCGATTTCAACTAAAATTCAGCCACTTTGAAATAAAGTAACGCAAAGAATGTTTTTATTTTCATTATAACGTTATTTTCCGCAGTGGACATAGTTTCAATGTCGAAGGGTGTCCTTCTCAGGATGTCTATCTTTAACTCCAGTGGACTATCTCCGATTCGGGGCTGAGTCCGCTTTCTTGACGCTTTACCTCGTGGCAAGAGCTTACAAACACGCAATAGTGTCCATGTATTCTTCGCAAGAAGTGGTGCTGGTGTCATGGCGGTACTTTACAATGTGGTGGTTCGTATTTCTTGGCCTTCATCTTGTTACCTGTGGATATAACATGGCGTACGCGCTGTTCTACTGGTGGCTGAATGACACGGAGATCAGACAATACCTGGTGTTTTACCATGTTGGGATGCCGCCGGAATACTATGATATCATTGCAACTGTTCACATGATCATGTCTTCACTACATGGTTTGTGCATCATGTTAATGGTGGGGAGTTCAGTATGGCTGCGTAAATTTGCATTCACGCCGTGGGGAGATCGAAGTATTTCGTCCCACAAGAAAAAAGGTCCGGTGCAAATAATAGAAGTGCAAACAAGAACTACCAGTCGAGTCAACTCGGTGATACTCGAAGGTGTACTAAGGAATACCAGTCGGGTCAATTCGGCGATATACAAAGGAGTATCCAAGCTTACCACACAAATCAGCAACCGATACGGAATTTTAGGAGTCAATGGTCAATATTTTCACGTAATTTCGATCATCCGCGAGCTCCTTGAGACTTCATTACAAACAATTCAAGCCTATCGCATGAGCCTACTACTACCTAGTATGCTACTCAACAGATTCTACGTAGTGAGTCTTGTGATAAACTGCTGGTCTCCTGCGATAATTCATATTTTGCTCTTTCGACGCGACGAAGCTCGTAAAAGGTTTGTGAGTCTTGCAAGTGACTGTACACTCGATCTTCTGTCTTGTATGGGGGTGACGATGATCGTAGTGCTGAGTTATGTGGGGCAATACACTCCAGAGACTACAGATTTTGGGGTAAATCCATGGTACAATGATGAATGGGCTGCAAAAGCACTGAACGAATTTCAAATGGTCCTCGTTGTGTCTTGGTCAGATTTAGCTAGTCGAGTGATTTTTTCGCTCGGTTTGCTCATGACCACTACTAGCATGAAATAATTACTTTACCCAGTTGCACAACACGGAAATCGCGTCGTAGATTTTACGGATTCGTCGTTGAATATTCCGAAAACTATAACGTTAAAATCTACTATCGTCCCAGAGCCTCCATCGATACGGCTGCTACCCGAAAAAGATGGCGTTAAAAAGGATACGAGCAAAAAGTGGTGGCGTCTATGGGACGTTATGATGCATGGCATACATTGTCTATTCTTCATGTGGGGGATTGCAGTGCTTAGTCTGCACATCCAGGCTTCAGTACAACCTTCACTACAACAGTGTACATTACAAGTGAGACCTTGGGCTGTAAAACGACCGTATTGTTTCTTGATATCCCTCGATTGTCATCGCCTACAAATTTCTGGTCAACTGGAAGAAATTGACATTAAATGGCGTGAATTTGACGGGTCTACCGTAGTCATGATGGTTATCAAGCACTGTCCTTTGGTCGACATCCCCGACACATTCAATGAATTTCATCAACTCATCAGTGTCAAAGTTTATAACTCGACAATAGTCGAGTGGAGAGAATCTGCTGCAATTACGAATACGAACCACCCGGCATTTTTGTCTCTAATGCTCGTTCGAACGAATATGACAAATGGAGAATTACCTGCAGGCTTCCAATCTAGTGATCCACCGCTCAATTTGTATGACTATGAGTTTTGCATTACCAATCTTCGTGAAGTGCCTGACGATCTCGACGTAAAGTGGCTTACGGGATCATACGTTATCATCGAATACAGTCAACTACAAACCGTACCACAAGCTCTATTACGCATAATGCCGCCTTATTTCTCTCTAATTGGCAACCCTATCAGCGAACTTCCTCCTGAGATTTTTGAGATCGAAGGTTTAACAGATTTGGGTATCGGCGACACAAATATTCGAGAACTTCCTCATAATGTGACACAACTCTCATTGACGCTCACTTCTATATACGTGGAGGGAACGAGTATTTCCTACTTTTGGTCGTGGACAGATGAAATTCTCGGACGGGAGAGTGTTCGTAATGTGCCGCGAGCGATTTATGCTGGCAACACTGTTTATTGTGGCGATCTGGAGAAGATTCTGACTAAATCAGCCAATTCCTTCGGTGCCGTGCCGAATCCGGATTATTCGTCCCGACTTATGGATCCGGTGGAAGCTGGTTTGGAGGGGAATATCTGGTCATTTGTGGACTGCAATCCTGCTGTAAGTGGTATCAGCGGGCCGCTCTATCCATTAGCAGCGGAGGATCACCAGAGTGGAATTCGTAGTTAAAGTCGTGAAATCCATACACTTTGTGGGTAAAGTATACAACGTACTACGTAGTATGAACGAGGCTCATACGAGCAAAACGATTTCATCGAAAATGGTGATGCTTTTACAGCAGGGTTCAGGCATTTGTCGATCCGCGTGAAGTACTTAGTAAACGAATTTAACACTAGGTAATTTCTTAGTGAACTAAACCCTTCTGAAACACCTGGGTTTTATTGTTGTTCATATTGGTTATTGAAGCTACGATAAAAAAGCTGCTGCTGGTAAGGGTGAGATTGTTGCTGTGGGAATTTGAGATTGCGAAATGGTTACACACTAATCGACCCTGCAAAAAAGCTTTCCGACAATTTTGAAGATACTGCTTCAGCAATTCTGGATGTGTACAGATCCGAAGGTATTGATTCTCAGGCGATTTTTCTTGGTCACCATGCTTGAAATTAGCGCAATGGCTATCTTGAAGTGCTCCGAACAAATAAATGGATGGACAGACGTAAACGTTAACGAGGAGGGACTGGCAATTCCGGAACAAGTTTATCCACAGCAAACCCAAAAACGACAAACTGGACTCTAAATCAGCAACGGTTG